TATACATATTTATACTGTAACCAGCACGAAAATTTGCATAGCTTGGGATATTCCGTGTATTAAAAAAAACACACGTGGGGTTTTAAATTGTAAGATGAGTTCCAATTATGTCGGATTATATGGATCACAATCCATGAAATCTTGCACGCGCAGATGGTTTTAGGTGGATCCTGTCGTTGTTCACACGGCAAGAACAAGCACTGGGATATTCCTGCAGATTTTGATGAGTCAGTGAGCAATGTTAGCGGCTCCAGCCCAAACCAGGCTGTCAGCGGATTTCCAGTATGCAATCGCCGCAACTTTCAGTATGCGATTTCAGATTTGCATTCATGTAACAAGCAAGCTGATTCTCGCTTTGCAACCCATTCCCATGTAGATTTTAGATCATTTTAGATCAACGTGACTGAGGGCAAATACACGAGAGGATACCGTGGTAACCTTGCGGCAGCATCGCTTTCTTAAATTACATCAATAAATTAGTCAATCAATCAACCAACGAATCAAGCAATCAACTAATCAATAAACACAATCCATAAGCTGGCAAATCCACCCACAATGTAAAGGGACGACATTTGGGGTTTTAGTGCTGCATCGTGCTCGATCGTGGCCATGGTTCTTGGTTAGCTGTGGTTACATTGACATAATGTTACATAGGTGTACCCTTTTTGAGATACTGAATGTGGTAAACCCAATTAGAACGGGAATCTATAGGCCTATTTCATGCTTTTAATGCGATCTTGATGTTAAGAGTATATGGTGGGATTCTGGTGGATATAGTACGGGATCATGGGATAAACATGGATAAACTATCTGGTTGGTGGTTTGGAACATGATTTTTTTTCCATCTATTGGGAATGTAATCATCCCAACTGACGAACTCCATCATTTTTCAGAGGGGTAGGTTGACACCACCAACCAGCTATAATGGTTACCACCCCCAATCCCCACGGGTGTCGCCAGGCGGTTCCTGTACAGCTGGCGCGCTCTCTTCCCTCGGTGACGAACTACGGCCGTCCCGCAGGTAACAAACCACCAAAAAAATGGCTGGCCAGATGGGTATAATCATAATCTATCAATGCTTTTTTCAAGGGGTTCAACTTAAGAAAACCACTGGTTAGTACATGTTAGTACGGGATAAATTCATATGGAACATCAAGTGCATCAATGGCTACAAACTTCAAAACTGGTGAACTAACAACACCGGGGGTTTGTCAAATTCTTGTTGGGATGTAAAGAGATAAGCCTCCCATGGCGGTAACCCAATTATGGTGGGGTCACTTGACCAGCCATGGATCCATGGCTGGCAATGATGGCTTGGATCCATGCGGTGAATCCTCCTTTGGATGGTTTCATCTCCATTGGTTTTGATCTGATAAACATGGCAATGAACAAAAAAAATATGTTTATATAATAATTATATAATATATATATATGTAATTATATGTATGTTTATCATCCACTAATCAAGGACTTTCCGGCACGCCGGGTTAGACAACGCACCAGGCGTTTCGGTCAATATATGAGCAATGTCATATTGTCCAAGTGCTTCATGTCCATCATGTCCAAAATCGTGGGATTTTAAACATGAGACCAGCCCAAAAAAAGACACCGGTTGTATTTGGTGGAAATCATGATGGAAATAATCAGAACATGTCTTCAAACCGGTGTCAGGTAAGTGAATATATGTACTGTATCCAAATCGATAGGAAACCTGGGAAAGGGCAGACGAAAGTTTGAACGCAGAACCAGATAGGTTCGTCTCATGGGGGGGTACCCTAAAATGGCAATGTTGAGGAACCAAGGATAGACCATCGGATATTGGTTGATATATGGTGAATCTATGGTTAATAATGGTCAATAATAATAACCTATAGTTATATATGGTTCTAATAATGATTGATAATGTGGGTAAAACAATGCCATAAACCACCCATGACTGGGAATGGTTCATTATACTGCCTATAAAAATGGTGATTTGGGGGATGGTTTATGATTGATTTACCCACATTATCCATCATTATCCTATTTTCCAGAGAACCCGCAGCCACAGCAGCAGCAGCAGCGACAATGGGCCAATGATCTTTGTGATTCAACCACCCAAACCATCAGCCATTGGTGAGGCCCCCCAGTGATGTTTGTTGGTTGATAAGCCCCAGTAACTATAGTTATTTGCGTACCATAAACCATATAGTTATTGTAACTATAGTTATTGTTAACCAGAAAAGCCCCAGTAAGTTAATGTTAGTTGGTTAACTATGGTATAATAAGTACCCTCTGGTAATTTAACATAGCTATTGAAAATGACCATTTATAGTGAGTTTTCCCATTAAAAATGGTGATTTTCCATAGTTATGTTAGTTTACCAGAGGGTACCATAAACCATAAACCATCAGGTGGACCATTTCTTGGTGAAGTCGGTGCCAGTTTCGCCACCGTCAGGTGGTGCTTCCCTGACGCTGCTGGCGCAGCTGACGCTTCCAGCCTTGGGCTTCGGAGGTTTCTGCCTGCAGGAGACAGGTGGGGGCTCCTGGAAAGCGCCTTGCAGCGCCCCTGGGACCCTTATTCTGTGGCCGTGTTTATTGCCGAAGTTTCATCAGTTCAATCCAATGAAATCCCACAGAAATCGTATGAAATCCCACTGCTTGGTGGTTTGGAACATGGCTGGAGGGACATTGGTCGCTTGTGACCCTAATCACTGTTTCTACGTTTTGAAGTAAAAAAGATAGGGTCACAAGTGACCAGGTGTGCTCGAAGTCCCACACCTGCCACACGAAAATGGTGCGGCCCCTTTGTGGTCGCCTGTGACCCTATTCGTGCCCGAAGCATGATTTTTGGAGGAAGTCTCGCAGAAAAGCTTCGTTTTTGAGTTTCGTAGCTTCATTTTTGAAGGAAGTCTCGCAGAAAAGCTTCGTTTTTGAGTTTCGCAGCTTCATTTTTGAAGGAAGTCTCGCAGAAAAGCTTCGTTGTAGAGCTTCGAAGCATCACTTTTGAAGGAAGTCTCGCAGAAAAGCGTCGTTTTAGAGCTTCGAAGCTTCATTTTTGAAGGAAGTCTCGCAGAAAAGCTTCGTTTTAGAGCTTCGAAGCTTCATTTTTGGAGGAAGTCTCGCAGAAAAGCTTCGTTTAAGGGCTTCGAAGCTTCATTTTTGAAGGAAATCTCCCAGAAAAGCTTCGTTTAAGGGCTTCGAAGCTAGGTTTTTGAGTTTGGAAGCTTCAGTTTTGAAGGAAGTCTCGTAGAAAAGCTTCGTTTTAGAGCTTCGAAGCTTTATTTTTGAAGGAAGTCTCGCAGAAAAGTTTTTGTGTTTGAGTTTCGAAGCTTCATTTTTGTAGGAAGTCTCGCAGAAAAGCTTCGTTTAAGGGCTTCGAAGCTACATGTCATTTATTTATTTATCTATCTATCTATCTATGTATCTATCTATCTATCTACCTATCTAATTATCTATCTATCTATCTATTTATCTATCTATCTATCTATCTATCTCTATCTATCTCTCTCTCTATCTATCTTGTTATCTTATCTTATCTCATCTTATCTTATCTTATGTATCTATCTATCTATGTATCTATCTATCTATCTATCTATCTCTATCTCTATCTCTATCTATCTATCTCTCTCTATCTATCTTGTTATCTTATCTTATCTTATCTCATCTTATCTTATCTTATCTCATGTTATCTTATCTTATCTTATCTTAACTTATTTTATCTTATCTATCTATCTATCTATGTATCTATCTATCTATCTATCTATCAATCAATCTATCTCTATCTATCTATCTCTCTCTATCTATCTTGTTATCTTATCTTATCTCATCTTATCTTATCTTATCTATCTATCTATCTATCTATGTATCTATCTATCTTTCTATCTATCTATCTCTATCTATCTATCTCTCTCTATCTATCTTGTTATCTTATCTTATCTTATCTCATCTTATCTTATCTTATCTCATGTTATCTTATCTTATCTTAACTTATTTTATCTTATCTATCTATCTATCTATCTATCTATCTCTCTATCTCTCTCTATCTCTCTCTATCTTTAAAATCTATCTATCTATCTATCTATCTATCTCTCTATCTCTCTCTATCTCTCTCTATCTCTCTATCTATCTATCTCTCTCGCTCTCCCTTTCTATCTTGTTATCGCTGTATCTCTTTACCTCAACTTCTAAAAACGGTCCGAACATGGTGTGTTTTGTACATGTTGACTCTCTCTCTCTCTCTCTCTTTCTATCTCTTTATCTCTCTATCTCTCCATCTCAACTGCTAAAGGCGGTCCGAACATGTTGGTTTTTGTGCATGTTGACTTCGAAACGGACGTCACGCCACAACGGCGTGCAATTTTGTATTTCTCATCTGGGCAGCTGGCTCCGCGCCCGCCGCTGTAGCGAGCTTACTTGTCGACCCTCCGGAGCCACAAGGCATTGGAAAACACTACCTTTTGGCTCCTCTGCATCTTCTTTCTTCTGACTCGTTCTCTTCTCTGATCTGCTCTCTTCTACTCTTCTCTTCTCTCTGCCTCTTCCCATCTCTGCTTTTCATCTGCCCATATTGTCGGAAGTTTGATTTCGAAACTTCCTTCGATAATGCAAAATATATTCACGAAGAAAGTTATACACAGACAAACTCGCGGCCAGACAATTATACAGAAAGTTGCGGCCAACTTTAGCAATCCATGCGTCGGTGATGCACTGAATTTCACCACCATTGACAATGGTATAGTATGATAGTATACTGTTATATCCATGCATGTCCATCTATTTGTCCATTAGGGCATTAGGGCATATCCATTCACATTGTACATGGGTTGTACAAGTCTCGTGACCTTCCAATATGTTGCACTGTGGTGCTCAAATGATTGCTGAAATCCTGGGAGAAAGATTAGTTTGTGAAGTTCATGCGCGCACTTGCGCTAAAGAACTTTCAAATCGCATGTGCCAAGTTGCAGTCCTCAATTGTGCCAAATTTGGTATTGTGTCGTCCGCAGTGGCATTTTGCCAAGGCAGAAGGTGGGTGCAGCATCACGTAGACAAGAAACATATAGTTACGTATTAGGCTTCAATCTGCTTCATGTCGTATCACCGTAACGAGTCAAGTAATGATGTAAGTACGATGATCCGTCCCCCCTAACCAAACCCTAAATGGCTGAGTCAGGTAATGATGTAAGTAGAATGATCCCTCCGCCCAACCAAACCCTAAATGGCTGAGTCAAGTAATGATCTAAGTTGAATGATCCCTCCCCCCCAACCAAACCCTAAATGGCTGAGTCAAGTAATGATGTAAGTAGAATGATCCCTAATTGAAATCCCTCTCCCCCCCAACCAAACCCTAAATGGCTGAGTCAAGTAATGATGTAAGTTCAATGGTCCTTCCCCCCCAACCAAACCCTAAATGGCTGAGTCAAGTAATGATGTAAGTAGAATGATCCCTCCCCCCCAACCAAACCCTAAATGGCTGAGTCAAGTAATGATGTAAGTAGAATGATCCCTCCCCCCCAACCAAACCCTAAATGGCTGAGTCAAGTAATGATCTAAGTACAATGATCCCTCCCCCCCAAACAAACCCTAAATGGCTGAGTCAAGTAATGTATAACCCCTCCCCCCCCAACCAAACCCTAAATGGCTGAGTCAAGTAATGTATAACCCCTCCCCCCCAACCAAACCCTAAATGGCTGAGTCAAGTAATGATGTAAGTAGAATGATCCCTCCCCCCAACCAAACACTAAGTGGCTGAGTCAAGTAATGATGTAAGTAGAATGATCCCTCCCCCCCAACCAAACCCTAAATGGCTGAGTCAAGTAATGATCTAAGTTAAATGATCCCTCCCCCCTAACCAAACCCTAAATGGCTGAGTCAAGTAATGATGTAAGTAGAATGATCCCTCCCCCCCAACCAAACCCTAAATGGCTGAGTCAAGTAATGATCTAAGCAGAATGATCCCTCCCCCCCAACCAAACCCTAAATGGCTGAGTCAAGTAATGTATAACCCCTCCCCCCCAACCAAACCCTAAATGGCTGAGTCAAGTAATGATGTAAGTAGAATGACCCCTCCCCCCAACCAAACCCTAAATGGCTGAGTCAAGTAATGATGTAAGTAGAATGATCCCTCCCCCCCAACCAAACCCTAAATGGCTGAGTCAAGTAATGATCTAAGTTCAATGTTCACTCCCCCCAACCAAACCCTAAATGGCTGAGTCAAGTAATGATGTAAGTAGAATGATCCCTCCCCCCCAACCAAACCCTAAATGGCTGAGTCAAGTAATGATCTAAGTACAATGATCCCTCCCCCGCAACCAAACCCTAAATGGCTGAGTCAAGTAATGTATAACCTCTCCCCCCCAACCAAACCCTAAATGGCTGAGTCAAGTAATGATCTAAGTACAATGATCCCTCCCCCCAACCAAACCCTAAATGGCTGAGTCAAGTAATGTATAACCCTTCCCCCCCCAACCAAACCCTAAATGGCTGAGTCAAGTAATGATCTAAGTACAATGATCCCTCCCCCCCAACCAAACCCTAAATGGCTGAGTCAAGTAATGATCTAAGTACAATGATCCCTCCCCCCCAACCAAACCCTAAATGGCTGAGTCAAGTAATGTATAACCCCTCCCCCCCAACCAAACCCTAAATGGCTGAGTCAAGTAATGATCTAAGTTAAATGATCCCTCCCCCCCAACCAAACCCTAAATGGCTGAGTCAAGTAATGATGTAAGTAGAATGATCCCTCCCCCCAAACCAAACCCTAAATGGCTGAGTCAAGTAATGATCTAAGTTGAATGATCCCTCCCCCCCAACCAAACCCTAAATGGCTGAGTCAAGTAATGATGTAAGTAGAATGATCCCTCCCCCCCAACCAAACAATTGCATGGTGGAGAGTTTTTAAAGGAGACAATTGCATGGTGGAACGCAGGGGGGGTGAGAGTTTTTAAAGGAATAGGGTCGCAAGTGACCGTTTTTTAGGGTCGCAAGTGACCGGGGATTTTAGGGTCACAAGTGACCGTTTTTTAGGGTCGCAAGTGACCATGGACCCTGGCTGGATTATGACTTTCCATATCTTGGGAATAGTACTGGGTCAAAGTGGTAACTTATGCCACGGTCATCTTCTTGTGCCGCAAACGGTGTGCCGTTGGGAAGTCCATGATAAACATGTCATTCTTGCTGGATGAATCAATTGTTTGTGGCATTGATTTTTCTAACACTTTACAGGGGCACACATGTTTTTGAGACATATTCTTCTTGAGATAGAAACTCATGGGGATGGCTTCTCAATAGCTTGACTCGCACAGAAGAGAGAACAGTAGAAGAGAAGAGTAGAGTAGAAGAGACTATATACAGAAGAGTAGAGAAGAGAATCGAATTGCAGAGTAGAAGTGATTAGAGAGGCCTAGAGCAGAGAAGGGAAGAGTAGAAAAGATCCCTGCTGCCTTGCCCTGCTGCCTTGCCTTGCAAAATCCAGATCTCGTACAGATCTCGTAAAGACCTCGTAAGGATCTCGTAAAAATAACGCAATGAGAATGACATGTAGAACTCCTGGTCTTCTAGAGGTCAAGTTGATGGTGTGCCAATACAATGTGCACATACATGGATCGGCAAAGTGATCGGCTGCAGAAAAGAAAACCGTTACCTGAGTACTTGGATGTACTCGGTGTGCCAATGGGGAAAACCATCATGGATTACATTCTTAGAGAGATTAAATATGTTTTTCCGACAATGGGAATTACATCTGAGAACTTGGGTTGATAGAAAACAATTTGTAGGTGTGCCATGCGTTCCTTGACATTTGGGGTGAGGTCAAAGAATTCACGAACTGATGTAAAATGTAGCAAATCCCTTAGGAAAATAACAAACCAATCCAAAAACCTGTCCGTGAGGGCCGGTGTGCCATGGTGATTTGCACATGGCGTAAGTTCTTGGGGTCGTGGGGTAAGCGGTGTGCCATGCGGTGGGGTAAGTTCATAGATTTTGGGGCAAGTTACCCCCCGGACACCCCAATTGGCGAACTCCATCATTTTTCAGAGGGGTATACCACCAACCAGTAATATAATTCCGACATTTGTTGGGGAAGTCCCTCTTTTGAATATGGTTATTTCCGAGTTTCACGGCCGCCGCCAGTCGGTTTCCTGAGGTAGTGCCTTGCCAATCCCAGCAATCGAGAATGTCACCGGTGGAGTGGAGGCAGTAAATGTTACGGGATCAGAAATTCCGAAAGGCCTCGTTTCCGTGGGGAATAACATGGTGAAACCAAATAAGTCCAAATAACATGTGTTATAGTATATAACCCCCAAAGATAGAATATTACTATTTCAGTATTTCAGTTTTTATTTCTATATTGTAGGGTTGTTGTGCAATGAATACCCCCCACTTAAATTTGGTGAAAGATTTGCTCCCATCCAAGCGATGGTTTTGATGGGCTATGATGGAGGTAGCCACTCAATGCAGCCCATAGGACTATAATGGGTTATACATACTACCCTCTGGTCAACTAACTTAACTATGGAAAATCACCATTTTATAGCTGGGTAAATCAACTATTTCTATGGCCATTTTCAATAGGAAACTGTTAGTCATAACCAGAGGGTACATACCCTCAAGAGATGAGATGTTCACCTGGGTTTGTCTGAAAACTAGCCTGATCCAAGTTAATCCTTAATGATTACCCGGTTTACGGATTAGCGGTTTACGGATTAGCCCGCGGTGGCGGAAGTTTCCCTTACAGAACCAAAAACCGCCAGCCCCAAACAAAGGGAGCGGAGGAAGGAAGCGCAAAGAGCAAAGCACATTGGTAACACAAAGCTCTGGCCAAGCACCGCTGGAAACGCAACACTTTGGTCGCACCACCGCCTTGCAGAACGGACCCAGCAGAATTCGAGCTGCTAACCTTTGCCGCATCTGACTACATTGCCCGGCTATGGTGTATGATGCCGACGTATTAACCACTAGACTATGGGGCCCGGTGCTTCTAGTACAGCGCCGGGCTCGGAATTGCTAATCGTGGCCCCCCGGGGGCGGAGAAGAAAGATGTAAGCACTGTGGCGCTGACGGTGCTGGTTGGCTGCTCCTGCTGCGGCTTTTGCTCCTGCTGGGTTGCTGCTGGGCTGCTGCTGGGTGCTCTGCTGGCTGCTTGGTTCTGGTTCCTGGGTTCTGGTTCCTGGGCTGCTGGTTGCTTTGGTGGCTGGCCTGCTGCTCGCTCTGCTGGGTTCCGGGGACAAGGAAAGGGACAGGGAAAGGGAGGCAGCCGTCCTACCTATGCTTTAAACCGGATTACGGATTAGGTCTCGGATTACGGATTCGACTCTTTGGGGCTTCTGAGACGGATTCCGGGATTACGGATTAAGGTAAGGCCCGCGAGCATTTGGTACAGCTTAGGAAAATAGGGTTAATCTTCCCAATGAAATAGCCATTTTTCATAGGGATTTTGATCAGCAAAACCATTGGGTTTAGGGGTTTAGCCTATTTTCAGACACACCTGTCCTGACGTAAAAATGGGGTGAAAATCTGGGGCCTCTCTTGAGATGCGATATGTGAAAAACTCATAATGGGGTTACGATCGCCGATAGCCCTGTCATCCGCGTTGCCTTAGGGTATTCCCATGTACCCTCTGGTGAACTAACAAAAAGCTATGGAAAATGGCCATTGAAATAGTGGATTTTCCCATAAAAAATGGTGATTTTCCCATCAAAAATGGTGATTTTCCCATCAAAAATGGTGATTTTCCATAGCAAAATGTAAACGTTCACCAGGCCGGGTATTCCCCCGTGGAGGTCTTGGAGAACGACTATCTCTCCCTGCAATTCCAAGGAGGCGGAGTCGAGGGAGTCGGCCCAGCACATACCATTGATTGGGTCACATTTTTGTTGGCATTTTTCACCAAGAAAATGGCAACTTTCATGTGGACCATGATCATAAATCAAGATAAATCAAGCACCATGGGATTTTTTTGGGCAAACGATCTTTTCATACACAACCATTTAAGCGGTCTCGCATGTTTTTTTTTGTGAGACATGTAAGTGAAACGCCAACCAAAACTGGTTGGACCTCCGAGTGTTCGATCCTACTAGGAGATCAACATCCTGAAAAGACGGGGACCCCGTGATCCCGGGATGTGTCCAAACCATCATTCAGAAACAAAGCGGTGCTCAGAAGTACCCAGTGACCTTTCTTAGTGGTGGGAGACACCTGCATGTTTATATGTATGTATATATATATATAATTATACATACAATTAAATACATATACATATATATAAATTATATACATTATTAATTATATAAACTAAATGATACTAAATAACTATACGTGTGTATATCTCGCCAATCAAAATGATGGCAGTTTTTAAGTTTTTCGATCCTGGCATTGGTGGCTGGGTGCTGGCCAGGCATGCTCTCTAAGATTGAGGACAAAGTGAACAAGATCTCCACCCAAGCAGAGCAGAACTGGTTTTGGTACGAGGTGCTTTTTTTGGGGGGTGAAGTCGTCAACCCCGAGGCCGGTTCGCCTGAAAATAATATATATCATGGAAGCGTTTGTGTAGCCACAATGCTATATAGACGCTGTCATCTCAATGATATATATATAATAGTCGTCATCAACATCATCAACATTATCCTTACCATGATTTATCTATTATCATCACCATCATTCATCCATCATTCATCCATCATTCTCATCCTCATTGTCACCTTGAGGATTGTTGGAATCACGTGACATGCAACCGCCCTAAGTTTGTGTGATGAACATGGCAACATCGTTTCGAAGTCTCACAAGCTGGAGGCCTCCTGGAGAAAGCGAAGTTGGTTGAGACTGTAACTCGCTTTACTAGGGTTTATAGATGTTTATGGGGATATAACTTGATATAACATGATATAAATTGATATAACTTGATATAACTTGATATACCTTGATATAAATCAGTTTTTTTAATGGAGCCTATACCGTAAATCAGCTACTGGGTTTATGGAGCCACCAGATCCTTACAGATGTTCGATGGAGCAGCCAGGGCTCGGTGGGGAACAATGAGAGCTCCCAACAAAGTGGTGCATACATCTTCCGGCCGAATCGCTCGCAGGTGGGATTGGCTGAGCTGAGCTTTGGCTATGGTAATCGATGGTAATCCATGGTAATCCATGGTAATCCATGGTAATCCATGGTAATCTATGGTAATCTATGGTAATCTATGGTAATCTATGCTAATCTTATCTGTAGATGTTTGGTAATCTATGGTAATCTGATCTTTTTCGCTTGATATTGGAGTGTGGATCATATATTTGATGATTTCAGAGATAGAATTATAGATTTGTTCTGGAATTCGGGCATAATCTATTATTGCGGGTTTTTTTCTGAAAATAGGTTGCCGCTAATATCCAGTAGTAAACTAACATTAGCACCGCTTTGAAGACACAAATCGCATGGAGAGTCCTGGTTTCACCATTGCCCTCGTTGGGACAAGCATTTTTGGGCAACCCACAGCCCTGATGGCCAACCTACAGTTTGCCGGTGATATGAATACCATTGAATACCACATGTATATATATATATACATATTTGTATATATATATATCCATATATATATATGTATATATCTATACACACTATATTATATCCTATGGTGATATGAACATAGTTTATTTTCAACTATACTTGCTGGTGGTATATCTCTCAATGGTTGCACGCCAGGATCCCATAGGATGGGGGACATCCAAAAATCACTCCCAAACAACTGATCATGTTGCGTTGTTTCATCTCCAAAAATATCAACGATGATATTCTTTACAATTGAAAACAGCAACAACAACAACAACAATGTTGTACTTAGTCTTTTAAGTTTTGATCCACCAACATCATCATTGGTTTTGCCCCTCGTTTGCGATTTATAGCCCTAATTTGTTGACTTAATTATATCCTGACCTGAGCCATTACAAAAAATGAAACATACAATTGCTAATTTGTTGTTGTTGTTGTTGTTGTTGTTGTTGTTGTTGTTGTTGTTGTTGTTGTTGTTGGGGCTTCTGCTACCGAATCTGTAGGGGATTATGATAAGCCATGATAGGTATACCTATTGACCAAGCAGTCGAATGCGACGGCATAGGGGGTATCTTTCATGGCTCTTTCACAGCTTGCTTTATCAACACATTTTGACAATTCAAATCCCTATTAATGTTAGTAAAGCAGTAGTAAAACCATCCATATTTTGATGCTTTACACAACTTTACACCAGCAATTTCTGGTGAGATTGGGGGAGCATCCTCTTGCACTCCCCATCGAAAGTTGATCAGCGGCAGGCCTTGCCGGTCTTCACGGGTCTGCCCTTCATGCAGATCACCCGCGGCCCCCTGGCGGATGAGGCCCGGATCGCTTCACGTGAACGTGAACATACTGAGTACTGGGATCCGATGATCATCTTCAAATTATCATTGGCACTTGAATCAAACATAGATTTACCATGGTCGTACAGTATTACTATCTCGATCAATCCTCAAGTCTATTAATCAACCGCTTCCTTTTCTTCCCGATCTTCATTTCATGTCAGGATCTGTTGAAGATTGCCCTCATGGATGGTTCTAATTATTATTCCACTCTATCCCTAAGGTGACTCCATTAGTAGATAGTACTTGTATCACTTGTATCCGAGAAGTGAGGAATTTCACCCTGATCCACCACTTACACAATGTGGGTATCAAAACTGGGGTACGAAAATCTGCCCACAGATTTGATGATTTTACACACGATCAAACCTGATCCACAAATTTAGAGCCACACCTATTTGACATTTGAATTTTTCCCACTGGTCAATCCTCAATCTTAGGGAATCTAGTGGAAAGCAAATCCAAGTAGATGCATGTGCATCTAAGTTGATCCACAAGCTTTAAGCCGTTTAAGCCTCCAATGGAATTAGCCCCTGTTGTGTGCGCCGTGATCAAAACTTATATGTAGGTTAATAATTGCCAAGATTGGGCATGGTCATCAGTCCATTCATGTGGGTAAATTTGATCACGACCTCATTGTTCTTCCTCACTGGAATCATGGTTAGTAAGGGAAATCATCCCCAAATTGCCACAAGATTCAGGTTAGTGAAATATGATAATTTACCCAGATTCAGGTTAGGATGACCATAGCCATGAGGATTCTCATTGTGGGATGACCATCTCCGATGGCTTTGTTTCAACAAAGACAGACCTAGACATCAGATCCTGCGTGGCGTGTTGTTCTTCCGTCGTAACCCATTTTATCATAAAATGTTATCATCAAAATTGTTGGTTTACACCATTTTATGCCACCATTCAAAAACATTATTTTCAGAGACACCCAGGTTTTATATCCTATGATATCCTCATAAACTATCCCATAAGACATCCCATGAAAGTCCCAAAAAAGAACTAAAATGCCATGATGGTTAATAAAAGTTCATGAAAATCTTATTCCCATCCCATGGTTTTTGTAGGTCATTTCCCTATATATGATGTTTGAATGATATCCATCCCCCATCCTTCAACACGCCTATGGAGGTGGTGCAGACTGTGGGTTCATGGGTGATGCAGCGCATGCGTCTGGGGAAGCTTCTGGGATGACATGGTGACTGACTGGATTTGCTGAAGATTCATAGCTTATAGGGTTTTGTAGGGATTCATAGGGATACCATGGGGATTTATAGGGATTTCTCGGCATTTTTATAGGGATCTAATGGGGATATAATGGAAGTTACCCCTCTAGTAAACATACAAAATCCGATGGAAATTAACCTTTTTATAGCTGGGTAAATCAATTACGAATCTATGGCCAGTTTCAATGAACTATATGTTAGTTTACCAGAGGGTACCTGGATTTGCTAATGGCTGATGATTCTTTATTTCCCCATGGGAAATCCAATACTTGGGGAATAAATTAAGATTAATCCAGTACTTGGGGTTCCGTTTTGTTTTATGGTGACATATCTCATGACAAATTGATCTGATATTTATCTGAGTTGGGTCTCCAAGTCAGAAGTTTTTGTGCTGATACTGGTGTCATCAACCATCGCAATGGAGGAGGGGAAATCAGCTGGGAAAATCATCCAAAACGGATGTTCCAGCGGAACATGTTTGATTCCCGACGGGTATAGCTTCTCCTCGATTTCGCATTTGGGGATTCTATATGTTTAAAATCTGTTTTGGGATTTAAGCAAATACAAGATATGGGGAGAATTTGGGGACATATAAGGTTTACATAGTAAATCAAAATTGGAGACCCCCAATTCACTGGGCATACCATCCCAACTAACCAACTAATTGATATGGACCCAGTGGGGTTTTGGAGGGTAATCCCCAGTCGACTGGGGATCAAACATTCCCCCCTGTTGGGATATGATTATAATGGGATATACAAGGCATTTTTTTTTCAACCCAGGATATTTCACTGAGGCAAATGACTTACCTTAGTGTACCCTCTGGTGAACTAACAAAAAGCTATGGAAAATGACCATAGAAATAGTGGATTTTCCCATAAAAAATGGTGGATCTTTCCATAGCAAAATGTTAGTTCACCAGAGTGAAACCTCCAGAAATCGGATTAAATCCAAGCAATTTTGGATGGGGATACGATGGGACAACGGCTGACATCATATCAGGCTGAGCTATGGACGAGCTCACAGCAACGTCACGTACAGCACCCTCTGGTAAACATACAAATAACTCTGGAAAGATCCACCATATTTAATGGGAAAAACCACTATTTCTATGGCCATTTTCAATAGCTATGTTGACATAACCAGAGGGTACTAAAAATCAACATTTTTAAGATGTGAATCAACGAACTAAATAGCCATTTTCAATAGCAAACTGTTAGTCATTACCAGAGGGTTCTATAGTAATTACCAGAAGCATACTATAGCTAAATAATCAAATATTCAAGAAACCATTGAAACTAATTTTCAACTATAAATAGCCAGTTTCCTCCATTTTGCTGGTGAAGTACCACTTGATGACTACATCATAAAAAAAACACTGGCGATGGAGGATTTCCCAGCGGCCATGAACACACAGGCTACGGCTATGTGTTATAGCGCTATTCCATTATAAGATCCAATTTATTCCCATTTATAATATGTGTATATATTAATATATATATATATATGTTATAATATGTTATAATCATGACATAATATATCATCAATATATGGATATTCATCCCATATAATCCCATTCAATCTTGTCTACTCTGGGACGGGGAGTGTCTGAGGAAGGCCAAGCATGTGGAGATCACGTACACCGTAGGCCGCCTGTTCCAGCTGCAGGTCGCCAGTTTTCAGCATCCAAATGTTGGAGAATTCTCTTCAGCGACAAATGCGTTTCAGTTGTAAAACAAACGGGACATAGGTGATGAACATATGAACATCTGGTTGACTGGTTGGTGGTTTGGAACATGTTTTTTTTCCATTTCATATATGGGATAATCCTTCCCATTGACTCATATTTTTTCAGAGGGGTTGAAACCACCAACCAGATATGAACATGGTTGAAATGTATCTAGATGTTTTAGATGTGGTATCACCTCACAGCAAATACACATAGGTGATGAACTGATTGTATCCAGAATCTTGATGTTCTTTTGGTGTGGATTCCCAGTGATGGTGACCAAACTCTGAGTGTCATTGTGGTCTTGGGCCATGAAGATGGGTTCCATGGCAAGAAAGGATGGACGTGATGATGTTTGTACCCTGTGTCACATAGCTTGTTTTCGGTAAGGTCCCCTCGAGGGCGTCGCGGAGTGTTGTCATTTTTTCATGTTTGCGTCACTGCCGAAGCATCCATGTCATCTCACGTGCTTCCTTGTTTTCGTGTGCGTCGTTGCATGTTCCGCGCGTTTTGCTGTGTTTCTTGACGCTGTTGCGTTTATAGTTGCGTGTTGGCATGCCAGGGTTTGTTCGGGGGGGTGGGATGGGGTGGGGGGGGGTGGGGGGGTGGGGTGGGGTGGGTGGGCGGGGGGGGGTGGGGGGTGGGGGGGGAGATAACGTTCTTGTTTATTAACGTTCCTGCATGTGCGTTCTTGACACGCTGTTCACTTTTGCAAGTGATGGTTTGACACGCGTTCGATGTTTTGGTTTGGATATGTTGACGTTGGGTCCGGGTGGCGTTTGGCATGCCAGGGTTTGTTCGGGGGGGTGGGATGGGTGGGGGTGGGGGGTGGTGGGGTGGGGGGGGTGGGGGGGTGGGGGGGGTTGGGGGGGGGATGATAACGTTCTTGTTTATTAACGTTCCTGCATGTGCGTTCTTGACGCGCGGTTCATTTGTTTGTGCGTTGTTAGAATAGTTTTGAAAATAAAATGATCTCATGTCTTTCGTTTGGTTCAGACATTTTCGATACGTCTTTGTTGCTTATGTTCATGTCTTCGTGTCACAAGTGGAATGTTGCTTTGTTTCATGGCTTTCACCTTGGTTTTGCTTGTTGCGTTGTTCTGGCTCATGTCATAGTTACCACAAAGCAGTACCTGGCTCATATTTATGTATATGCAGTGGCTCCACCTGCCAGACGACCTGACCCGTCACCTGGGAAATATACAACAAATACAATATATATAATACATATATAGACATATATATATATATAGATGCAGTGGCTCCACCTGCCAGACGACCTGACCCGTCACTTGGGAAATATACAACATATACAAAATATATATATATATATATATAATACATATATAGACATATGTATATATATATATATATGCAGTGGCGATCTCAAGAAAAGAACGACTGTGTCTCACACCTGTCCAAAGCTTTGAAAGCAATGTATGCGCGATGAGGTTAGAAAAAAGTTACTTCGGAGACCCCTCTTGGAAGATGCATTTTTAAAACATTCACGAAATGCAGGTTTTAAAGGCGTTGTGTGTTCAAAAACGCACGACGCCTAGGAGGGGACCTTCCCTTGTTTTCTCCCACTTTTGTTTATTCCATTTTGGGTATGGGTCAAAATTAATTTTATCCCTAATTCCAAGAGTGTTTGTCAATCGTTTCACTTTTTGATGACAACAATTCATAGTAAACCATCCCCCAGTCATCAGCATAAATATATAGGTGGTATAAACTAACCATTCCCAGTCAGTCGGGTGGTAAGTTTATGGTATGGGCGCCTCTAAGAGGCCGTGCGTTTTTGAGGTTTTTGGGGTGGGGTGGGGGGGGGTGTGATAACGTTCATGTCTCTTGCGTGCAAGGTGATGCGACGTGATGCTACGTTGAATGTTACGTTGATCATATTGTGATTCTACGTTGAGGAGCCGTTTGAGCTAACTGTGGTGGGTGGGGTGGGGGGGGGTGTGATAACGTTCATGTCTCTTGCGTGCAAGGTGATGCGACGTGGATGTCACCACATGAAGCACATCGCAGCTTTTGGCTAATTCGTTTGTTTTCGCCCTCGCGCCATTTTTTCTCTTCGCGTTCAGCATGAACACCTTCGCTCTTATCGTGTCGAGCAGCATCTCATTGCTGCAGATGCTTGAGCCCAGGGCCCTCTGGATGCTGCAGGCCAGGGTGAACTTTAAAGGGGTCGAGAAGTCTTTTTTTAAGTTGTTGTTTACAGGACATAGCTTTAAAGTTAGTTTCAGAAATGTTTTTCTTCTGGTTGTGACGTCAACCCTGTTTGAGGTTGCCCTCGGGCATCGTAGACTCCAGGGGCCCTTTTTTTTACTAGCCAGGCTAGGTTTTTTTGACCTGCCGCACGATGCAGTCCCTTGGCGTTTTTGATGATGCTTTTTTGTATGGTTTTGTTTGGTTGGGTCTTTTCTTTTTCCATAACGAGCCCCGCCCGAACCCGAAGTCGAACCTCCCCCACCCCCCCTCAAAAAAAAAACGGTTCGCTGGGCTAATGAAACAGTTTTCGGCAGTAGGATTTGTACAAATATTGCTCGCAATGACCACCGAAGCCGAACCCGAACCCGAACCCGAAGTCGAACCTCCGCAACCGCCCCTCGACCAAAAAAAAGCAGTTTTCTGCAGCAAGATTTGTACAAATATTGCTCGCAATGACCACCGCAGCCGAACCCGAAGCCGAAGCCGAACCCGAAGTCGAACCCCCCCAACCCCCCCTCGACCAAAAAAAACAATTTTCTGCAGCAGGATTTGCACAAATATTGCTCGCAATGCCCACCGAAGCCGAACCCGAACCCGAAGCCGAACCCGAAGTCGAACCTCCCCAACCCCCCCTCGACCCAAAAAAACAATTTTCTGCAGTAGGATTTGCACAAATATTGCTCGCAATGCCCACCGAAGCCGAACCCGAAGCCAAAGCCGAACCCGAAGTCGAACCTCCCCAACCCCCCCTCGACCAAAAAAAAGCAGTTTTCTGCAGCAGGATTTGCACAAATATTGCTCGCAATGCCCACCGAAGCCGAACCCGAACCCGAAGCCGAACCCGAAGTCGAACCTCCCCAACACCCCCCTCGACCCAAAAAAACAGTTTGCTGGGATGATGCAGCAGGATTTGTGCAGATATTGGACCACCGAAGCCGAACCCGAACCCGAAGTCGAACCTCCCCCACCCCCCCCCTCGAACAAAAAAGCAGTTTGCTGGGATGATGCAGCCGGATTTGTGCATATATTGGACCACCGACGCCGAACCCGAACCCGACGTCGAACCTCCCCAACCCCCCCCTCGACCAAAACAAACAGTTTGCTGGGATGATGCAGCAGGATTTGTGCACATATTGCTCGCAATGACCACCGAACCCGAACCCGAACCCGAAGTCGAACCTCCCCAACCCCCCCCTCCACTACAACAAACAATTTTGTAAGCGTTCCATGGCAGCAACATTTGTCAAAGACCCTACCCTATCGATGTGGTCTGCCCCCCCCTTATATATATATATTTTTTTTTCCCCCCCTTCGGTAGCTCAAGTATAACGTGTGTCTTTCCTCATTCCCAGGCAGTCTGGCTTCTGTTTGCTAGCGGTAGCTTCCACATACATCTTTTTTATCCTCCTCTGACCTTTTTCCCCTGTGACTTGCCCATAGAAGACCAACCCCCTCTTGCAACATGCTGTTGTCCCAGCTGACTTGCCCATAGAAGACGAACCCAGTAAGTGTCCCACGCTTTGCAGGTCAGACTCCTTTAGAGATGCTGGCAGTTTCACCACGCACGGCAGTCGACTATCATCGGAGGGTTTTGGTGTTTCAAAACTTTTGCAGTTTACTGGAGTTGAGAACCAACACAAGCTCTCAAGTAGACCATCCCTTGACTGTTTTTCTCAACCAAAGCTTCGAAGAGGGGCTGGACATTTCAGAGGCGCAAAAGGCATTTGCAGCAGTACAAGAAGCTTTTCCAGTTGTAGGTCGTCAAGGTCTGAGCCGCAGCCGGAGGTCTTTGAAGGGTTGGAAGAACCTAGATCCAGGTCAAAGTCGAACACCACTGGCCTGGCCCTTCATCAGTCTCCTTGCTTTGACCATGATGCAACTGGGAGAGGTCAGATGTGCTCTCTGCATTCTCACCATGTTCACAACTTACATTCGTCCATGCGAAGCTCTGAAGCTGTTGAAGAGGGATGTAGTCAGGTCAACGGACTTGGGGGTCAGTTGGGCTCTCAACGTGAACACGTCCGAGGAGGCTCAACAGTCAAAAGTGGGGCTTCAAGACGAGGCTATGCTGCTAGACAACAAGATGCTGGACTACCTAGGCGTTCTGGCGCAGGGTCTTCCTTTTACAACCTTGTTCGAAATGCAATACCCTCAGCTCCACAGAACATGGCATGCAACGCTGGCCCATCTGGGCTTGCCCATGGAGACAGCAGATCTGTACCAGCTCCGTCACTCAGGGGCATCTTGGGATCGACTCAAAAAGGTGCGTTCTCTTCTGGAAATCAAACTGCGCGGAAGGTGGAGTTCGGATGCAAGCCTGAAGCGATACGAGAGTCATGCCAAGGTTGCCCAACTCTACGAGAAACTGCCGGACAGCATCAAAAAGAGAGCAGATTCATCTCCTCAGTTATTGAAAGAGATGATTATCGCATTTACGTCCCGACACACCCCAACATGCTGAGGCCAGTGTTGGAATTGTTTGCGGGGAGTGCTGCTTTCTCCAAGGCTATGTGCAAGCTCGGTTTCACAGTGCATGCTTATGACATTCAATGGGGACGAGGTGGTGATATCCTTGATCCTATAGTTTTTAGAAAATTGAAGACTGCTTTAGACAGGAAGACTTTTTCCTTTGTTCATTTTGGCATGCCCTGCGAAAGCTGGTCCCGTGCGAGAAAGTGGAATGGCGGACCTCCACCACTCAGGGACAATGACAGTTTTCTCTATGGGTATGACTATTTGACTGGCTCCAATCGCATCAGAGTTGAACAGGGCAATGCTTTGCTCAAGGCAACCTTTCTTCTGGCTTTGGCTGCGATTGCTGCTGGCACTCCATGGACAATTGAAAACCCTTTCAGCAGTCGTGCTTGGCTAACTTTTGAGATGACAAAGTTGCAGGAGCTTGGTGCTTTGCCACAACAAGTGCATTACTGTCAATATGGCAAGCCGTGGAAGAAGGCCACCACTTTCTTAGGGTGGAAAATTCCCAGCCTGCTTTTAAAACAGTGCGCCGGTTCCTTTGGGCAATGCTCTGCTTCTGGTCGAAAACATCTCGTGTTAGAAGGCCGAAATTCCCAAGGGGTCTTTCGCACTCTTTTGGCGCAACCCTACCCCAAGGACATGGTTGCCGACATTGCTGCTGTTTTGTTCAAACATTTGCAAAACTTGTAATCATTTCCTACCTTTCTCACAGAATACTCCGAAGTCGGGTGTGGGAAGACAAATTGATGGTGGTTGAACCTTTCATGCGTGGCATCTTCACTCAGCTTGACTTCAGATGCCCATACCTTTCAGCTATCGCATTAAGCTTCTCAGACCTGCTGCCTTGACCAAAGGCTCTTGGGCAAAATAGGCAGCCGCAGATATTCTGGCATGGAGTTGTGCAAGAGTGTGAATCATGTTCAGTACCTTTGGTGCGCCAATGATTTAGCGGGGCACATGTGAATGCCGTCCCCCGCTCAAGATCTTTGTGCTCACCATCCACCGCCCCTCCACCTCACAAATTGATGGTGGTTGAACCTTTCATGCGTGGCATCTTCACTCAGCTTGACTTCAGATGCCCATACCTTTCAGCTATCGCATTAAGCTTCTCAGACCTGCTGCCTTGACCAAAGGCTCTTGGGCAAAATAGGCAGCCGCAGATATTCTGGCATGGAGTTGTGCAAGAGTGTGAATCATGTTGATGATGTTGATCATGTTGATGATGGTGATGATGATGATGCTGTTGATGATCATGATGATGATGTTGATGATGTTGATGATGATGATGAAGATTATGATGATGATGAAGATGATGATGATGAAGATGATGATGTTGATGATGTTGATGATGTTGATGATGCTACTGATGATGATGATGATGATGATGATGTTGAAGATGATGATGAAGATGATGATGAAGATCATGATGATGATCATGCTGTTGATGATGATGCTGTTGTTGATGATGATGATGTTGATGATGAATATGATGATGATGATGATGAAGATGATGATGATGAAGATGATGATGACGATGATGAAGATGATGATGATGATGATTATGATGCTGTTGATGATCATGATGATGATGATGTTGATGATGTTGATGATGATGATGAAGATGATGATGAAGATGATGATGATGATGAAGATGAAGATGATGATGATGATGAAGAAGAAGAAGAAAATGATGATGATGAAGAAGAAGATGATGATGATTCTGTTGATGATCGTGATGATGATGTTGATGATGTTGATGATGATGATGATGAAGATGATGATGATGATGATGATGATGATGATGCGTCGCAAGTCGTCATTGCGGGTCCGGGCAAAACCCAGGCATATATTTGGGCAACACCCAGATGCTCTCTTAACAGACGGCCTTGGCGATACTTTTCGCGCCAAACGCCAAGGCAGAGGAGGGCGAGTACTACTACAATCACCGCCTCAAGGTGGACGGGGGCTGGACCCATTTGGTAAACATATGGCAGTGGGTCAAAACCCTGGTAAATGGATGTTCATCCCTCTAAAAATGGTATTAATAGGTATTGATTCATAGCCATATCTGAAGTAAATGGACTAAAGTGACTAAAGTGTATAAGGTTTTAATCCTAGGTTTGGAGTTGAACATGGGCCGAGTTAAGGCCCTAATTTCTGGCTAACATGGGCAAAAAACATAGGAACATATAGGAACAAAGGATGAACAAACCTTGGAATGGGAATGAACGGGGTAAGCTCTCTGAAAACCCAAATGTTGCCAACACTCTTTGGGTTGGATGTGATAAATGTCCTTCTTCCACCAGTCGGTTTTTTGAAATAGAATCGGTTTAGCCCATGAAAACCCACCAACAGCTAGGTGATAACAAAGAGTATACCTCATTTTTTTCCCAAAGGGACAATATTCTTGCCCTCGGGTTATCAAACATGGAAATGGAAAATCCACAATTTGTAGATGATTTTGTAGAAACCGCTATTTACAGGCTACCCAGCCAAGTTTGATGACACCGGAGAGTAGATGTGTTGAGAAAACCGAGGTTTTGGGGTGCCTAGGTTTAACCCCTGACATCCCTTGTTTTTTTTCGGTGGGGGCCTAGGTTTAACTTGTTACAACTGACGTGGTAATCTCACCGTGGAACGTTCGTTGGAATGGCAACATCAACTACAGATGGGGATTTCCATAAATGGGGATACTGTACCCCCATAGCTGGATGGTTTATAATTGGACACTCATACCAAAAATGGATGATTTAGGGGTAGCTCCATTTTAGGAAATCTCTCTCTCTCTCTATATATATATATCTGTATATATCTGTATATGTAATGTAATGTATTGTATTGTATTGTATTGTATTGTAATGTAATGTAATGTAATGTAATGTATGTATATAAATATGTATATTGTATATATGTATAGCAACCCCCCAGTCATAGATAGATTAGTTATGATCAGTTGGACACCTTGAAACTATGGGGAAAACATCATACCATCCTGGTTTTACCCTGTTCGGCATTTTTTTTTGGGTTGCTATACTGTATACAGCTTCGGGATTTCCGAGCTTAGACTACCAGACGGCCTAAGCATTCTGATGGCGACCTCAACTTTCTGGGGGTGTGGAACATATTGGAGGGAATGGATTATTGAAGTGGACTCATTCTAAAAGAAATCCGTCTGGCTTGGGAACCATTCGGACCTATGATGGTGAATTTTGGAGGCAAATTTAGATTTTTGGACATCATGATATCGACTACAAACCTCATTCTGCTTGCTTGCATTCCCATTTTGCTTGCTTGGATTCCCATTTTGTCTGGTTGGATACCCAAATCAATGAAATCTCTAGATCAGAATCATAGTCCCAGACGGGATCATAGATCAGAGTCATCATGACCTGCATCCGACCTGGTAGGTTTCGACCTGGGATAGTCCTGTGGCGGAGTGGGAGCAGGCCCGACCCATCTGGATCCGGCTGGTGACCTATGTGCTACTGTATGTGGTAAAGGAAATGCTCAGTAAACCCGAAAAGGATCCAGAAATATCCAGAACAGATTTCATTTACCAGTTGTTTCGTCGTTTGAAAAAAGACACCAAATATTTAAGACATAAACAACCGAGCTAAATGCAGCATAGGAAGAAACGCTGATGAGTTCCGAAGTCATGTATCGCTTGGGCGTTGGTGTAAACCTTGAGAAGACAGGATTTACTATATGTTGGGTCTTCAACCATACTAAATATCTTCAGTTTTAGTCGATCACTCAGTTTTGTTGAGGTTTATGTGCATGCAATGGAATCAATGGAATCTCCTTCAAAATACACCGGATTTGATAGATTGCTTCACATCTTACAGCAACAGTTGATATCATTGATACCAATTGATTTTGTTGGGTTGCTCTTCTCTATGATACAGGCTATCGTAAGATGGGGTTTGAATTGTGGTCGTTATCAACTTACAGTGGATTATGCACCGTTGATACTTATAAGAGATTAATTAACTATAGTCTATAATCAACTTCTCACTAGTACTGTACTTAGTTGTATCATGTTGTATCAATCATTGATTGTCAATGTAGTTGTATGTAATTGTATAATCATGTATTAATGATTTGATTGTTGTTACTGAGTTGACAATCAACTAATAATGAAGTTGTTAACTACAATTGTCAATGACATGTGATGACCCAATTAAAAATTTATTTATAGTTGTTAATTATTGATACTGTGATCAAGTATACTTTTTGTTTTTATTTGTCAACTACAAGCACTTCTTAACCCATTTAATAGTTGATGGCAATGACGAACTAATAGTTGATTGCATCAATCTGAATTACAACCATCAATTAGTATTAGTTGAATTACCATCAATTATCAATTTGTAGTTGGTATTCTTTTTTGTATAACTATCATTGATCTATAATTTGCTATAATACATAGTATATATGGAGGTTTCCTGAAATGGTGGTACCTCCATATGATCTATTTTCATAGGTTTTTCCATTATAAACCATCCAGCTATTGGAGTATCCCCATTTATGGAACCCCCCATATAATCGTATCTCTTGTTTCGAGCCATTGTTGATCTGCCCTCGAGGAGTTGCTCACGCGTCAGACAGTGCTGTTCTGGTGCGGAAGCCGAGCATCTCGTGGGCTATTTTTCATCGCTGGGATTGGCATTTTTCCATGGGTTTCAGAGAAAAATCAATGGGATCCCCAACATCGTCACCATTGTTTCAATACGAAGTCGACTGGTCATCCGGATGATGATGATTTGGGGTAGCCTATTGTCAGGCAAAGCGATGTGTTTCATGTGCCTTGCAAATTTTCGGGGTGAAACATGGTGAAACTTCGTTCTTGTTCCATTGAGAAGCACATTTCTGGGAAAGGGAGCCGAAAGTTTCATGAGGATCAAGTGCTGTCCCTACGATGACTTAATCAGGGAGATGGCAGCCTCCATTGCAGCATTGCATCTTTCCATGATTGCCTGGAAA